CATGAATTACAAATGTTATGATTTCTATTATCTTATAAACATTGGATTATTTATGCAGAAGGTACATTGTAAAGACATCCACATGGACTTAAATTCCTTTAATGTTTTGCATTTTAGATCATAAATTGTTTTTTACATGTAGAATTTGGTTCATTTTTTCTAAGCATATTAAATTCAAAAGTGTTGTTAGGGTCTCCTGATAGGTTCTTAAAAATACAAATCTTTTGTTTTTACAGTCGGCCTACATGTGTATTGTCAAGCAAACTTATACAGTTAGATGTGGTATAAGATTCTGAAAATGTCAACTATTGCTAAGAAGCTCCTTTATAAAAACCCATTGGTAGCATAAATTTGAAGTACCTGTACATGTCTTGGCAGCAAGTCAAAAATCTCTTTTGATTAAGTTCCAGATGCAATTTGGTCAGCCATAGAACCCCACAGGCAGCCAGATCAATTTGTATTGGCCTAGATTTACACCCAGTCTTGGTAAAAATTAATGTGACCCAACTCCCCTCGGAGACCTACATGTGTCTCACCAGTGAATGCACTGGCTATGTTTCTCATGATATATGTATAAATGGGAACTGATGGTATGAAAAATGGGCATATGCCAAGGACATTAAATGAAAAAGTAGTATTTGCATGTGGTCAGGGGGTGTAACAATAATGGGTATCATTTGACATTTAACAGGCAATCGCTGTGTTAGAGTGTTATAACAACGAATCTTCACCCTATACATTTTTGAAGGAAATTGTTGTGTTATTTGTTTTTGGAGACATCATATGCGACAGATTTTGCACTTTCTTGACACTCAAGCCACTTGTAGAGAGAGAAAGAGAGGAGGAGAGAAAGACAGAAAGAGAAAAAAGAGTGATAGATAGATAGATAGTTAGACAAATAGAAAAATACAGTGAGAGAGTGAGAGAGAGAGGGGGAGGGGGAAGGGGGGGGGGGGGAGGTACACTGTACTCTGTTCACATCTTCAGATGATAAACATTAGAAAACCGTTGATAAAATTCATTTTAAAAAGGTAAAAGGGGATGAGTTTGCCATCTTATATTCCTTTACTTTCATATAGATTTAAGGTCTTATCATGGTGAATGTGTTTCTAAATTAAGCTCAAAAAGCTATTTCTAAACTACATGATTTTGAACCTCTTATCAGTGGTACTACCAATAACAGTAATGAAATTCAAGATAGTCTTTGATTCGTAGATTTGTTTTAAAAAAATCAGTCTTGTTTTGTAGTAGATCATGGAAGACATACATGTAGCTGTGGTAATTCGTAATTTTTTTTTAAAGGTGACAGTACTACAGTTGCAAAATATTACTAATTAACAATGGTTGTTTAATAGTAACATGTAGTATTATTCATGTTTTCAGTAGCATTAGAAGACATCTGCAGTTTCTGAGAAAAAGAAAAATTATCATGATGTATACCTACATGTAGGTGTTTATGTATGTGATTATGCATGCACAGATACATCTCCATGTCATAAAATCATTATCATTGCATGAAGCATGTTATCATGCATCATATAAAGAAGAAGCTTATTTGTTGCGGGGGAAAAAAAATTGTGCATTACGTTAACCTAAATATTTGCAGTACCTGGAAAACTATTCCCACTTACGAAGCCTCTCTTCTTAAACCAACCGTGAATAAAAACAAAAAAACAAAACATTACAGAGTGTCAGAGTCTCGTACGATGTTGTAGATTGGATGTAATAATGCATGAAGTTCATCAGTGTGCGAGGGAAGGGATGTATGTACCTCCTTTTACTTTCCATCTCCCCTCTACGTTGCATCAATCTCCTCTCTGTTTCCTCTCCCTTCCTCTCCTTATCTGCTTTGCTCCCCACCTCCATATTCTTGCCTCATGAATATTTTTGTTTGTTTCGCGCATATCTCTCTCCAATATTCTCCTTCTCTTTATTTTTGTCTCCCTCTTCTTTACACATACTTCTCCCTCTCACATTTTCTCCATCTCTCTCTCTCTTTCATTCTTGCCCCCCCCCCTCTCTCTCTCTCTCTCTCTCTCTCACTCTCTCCCTTTTCCTCTTTTATGGTAGGGACTATGGTATGCAGTAAGTTGCAGAAGATGAAAGCTATGTAATGATGACATTATGGTTTTTCTAGAAGGCCTGTAGTTTCAAGTTGACGTATTGAGAAATTATTTTAGCCACCTTCCAATGAAGTCGTAAATCTTCTCATAAAATTCTTCTTCAAAACATGTTGCATTTCACATTTTATGTTTATGTAGAATAAGGGCTTACATTGAATAGTCCATTGGATTATAATGACATGTACATATTTTCAATCATTCTGGTAATCTATTAGAATTTGACAATTCTCATCATTTTACATTGCATATTGTAGTGAAATGTAGAGCAGGGTTTACTTTACACAGCACACATAGCTATTAGCTGCCTTATAATATCTTTTTAAAATGGTGTCTCCCCTTCTTTCTCGAACAAAAATAAGGAGATAACGAATCCTTACCTCCGAGCTACGAAATGTACAATACAGTACTTTGGCATTCAATGATGGTGAAACGAATGTACTTTTTCCTCCTTAGACTTTCAGATTGATACTGCTATGTAACTTAAATGCCACAGAGACTCTTTCTTTCCCGCATGAGTGGCAGATAGAAAGTAGGTCATGTGAGAAATAGGTAACTCTACCACTTCTGCCCTTTCAAGTAGAAGGATTAGGTAAAACCCCTTTCTGGTATATCATTCTTTATGTACTTTTGTTGTCTATACGTCTCCTGTCTTAAAAATGTGTGCTTTACAGATGAAAAATAACGAGGCATGATATTCAAAGAGTGCATTTTATAGATGGAGATGTAAAAAGATGTTATGTTATTAAAAGGCGTGGCATGATATTGCAAATGAGAAAACGTGTGTATTAAAGGGGAAAAATTGACAGTAAAAGGAGTGATGGCAGAAGAGTTAGAGTTGCCTGTACAGTCGAGTGGGAGTATGAGGAAGAAAGAGAAATAGTGAGAACAAGAGAGAGAGAGAGAGAGAGAGATGGGGGAGGGGAGAATGTGAAAACAAAGACAGATACTAGGCCTTCCATAAAACACTATATTTAGGAGAGGTTGACATGATGTAAGCAGTCGGTACCTGAATGCATTATTTGCAAGTACTGTCAAAATGACAAAAAGACCCTGAGACTAAATTTACAACTGCTTGTTGAATTGCACACCCCTGTTGCATTGATGTAATTTAATTCGATTTTTTCCCCTCTCAACCTATGTGTATATACATGTATGAAAATCCAAGACAAGTGAAGCTGTTGATGAAAATGTCAAGCACTCACTCCAGTTGAGCATCAGAATGTCAACCATTAATAATTTCAAGCAGTTAAAAATGAGCCGAGCATAGAGAGAGAGAGAGAGAGAGGGGGGGGGGGGGGGAAGAGAGAGAGATATATAGAGAAAGGTTGTCTATAAGCTAGGTGAAATCTGTGTATAGTTTAAAGATAAAGACCAGTTATGTTCATGCGATCGCATTGTGAAAGAAACGTTGTGGAATCGATCAGAAAAGGTTGATCATCTAGCATATAAGTACTGGTGTGTACTGCAAGGTTCTGGAATCATCAAAATTATAAGAAATTTGGCCCAGTCTTGGTAAAGTTACAAGCACTGTACACAGAAAGATGTATATGGGACTACGTGACATGTGTGCGACACGTGCGTTATATCTATCAGGTCCAAATAGATATAATAATTTACCAAATATATCAATTAGTACGCAGTTTCTCGGCAAAATGTGTATAATCACGTATTAGTCAAAACATACTCTTTCACACGATTGGTGATAAGAGCTTCCATTTTATTTTTTGAGAGGGGGGCGTTTCCAAAACTGGTCTTTACCTTTAAGGCGATTTGAGGTGGACCTTAAAATGTCTTGGAGTCATTTGCTTACCAATACTTTCAGAAATTAAGAAAATATTTTGTATATTTTATATTCTGATGTGGATACATTGTATCTGCCATCACCAAAATGGAGCAAATCTATCAAATATTAATTCTGACATTTTCTGACCTGAGAGTGTTACCCCAATAAATTATTTTGTTCCAGGGCAAGAGGCAGTGAACTTTGTTAAATTGTTTAGTGTAGCACTTGCATCACTGCATTAATTCAAATGGCATTGATGGACTTGCGTGTATTTGATTGCTGGAAATAAATTGAGGCCACCATTTGAAAGAGCAAGGCACAATGTATTAGAGTCTAATTGAACTGTACATTGCCAATCACTAATTTGTTATATTTGTTATTTAGACAGTTATTGACATTTGTGAGGTATTTTCATTCTTTTCTCTTGTCCCTTTCGTAGTGCAATTAATATTTCTATTCTTCATATTTTTAAGCCCTGAAATTCACCTTTGTTTTCATCTATATGCTCATACGTGAGACTACAGGAACCTAATGTATGAGTTGTTTTGTAGTAATGGATTAATTGGATTACATTAGTGTAATCCACATGTAATGAAATTAGATGTGACGCCAGGCTAGACACTTTGTGATCTGTATGCAGCTATGATACCAGTGGATGTTTTTCCTCATCCTTTTCACGTTAAAGATATATATTTACTTGTAGAGTGCTTTGTTATTTTGGTCAGTATGGTTTTAAAAGCAAAATTGTTAATTCCCCCTCACCTCATAATTTTACTGCCATGTTTTATTAAAGGATACTAGTGGAAGAGAATGTACATGTCTATTTTTATCTTTGATAATTTTCTGTCTTAAATTGAATAAAAACAAAAGATGTCTCTCACATTTTGATTTTAATTGATTAGACAAAGAGAAAAATATATGCCATATTGATTGCATGATCAGGAATCAAAATTAGATAATATCAAATTATGAATTTTAATGTAGGTAATTATGCATTTGATATATGAATAATAAATATTTATACTTAAATGAGATCCAAACATATGATTGTAACAAGCTGTGATTTCTTTTGTTTGTTTTCTCTTTCAATACAGTGCAATCTCCCAGGACACAAAGACTAAACAGTAAGTGTAACTTTTCATTATTACAATCTTAATATTTTAACATATGTCATAAACTAGTTTAGTCTTGGAAAGAATATTTGTGGCCAAATGATACTTGATAACTCTATTTCAGCTTGCCGGATTTCCAAAAGCTCATGAAATGGGGCAAGAAGCATTTGATTAATGAGAAAATATGCTTTTTAAAAAAAAGATCTAAAATGCAGCCAAGGAGATTAAGGTTTGAGAAGAAATTAAAGAAAAAGAAAATAATAGGTTTTTTTTTAATTTAATCTCTTTCCGTTTAGTACAAAGTGTCAATTTAAGTTTGTTTTTGTAAGGTGCATGCAGAATTCAATTTTTGGATAGATTATTGAACTAGAATGTTATTATTATGGATTTCTTATATTTTCTTAAAGATTTAGTTCGGCCATTTGCAAGCCATGTTTACATACACACATCTTCAAACTGTCTAAATGATATCATATAACATATGAATACAATGCTGAATCAAGAGGTTGCTGATTTTTTTTCTTCAATATCACTTTTATTTCTGCTTCCAACAAAACATTACAAATCAATGTTAATCATTTACAAAAATTAAGGAATACATATTATCAGAGGGGTCCACTAAAAAGCAATGTGTGGACCCCTCAACAAATAGTTAGGAATAATGAGTAATTAAATTAACAAATTTGTAACTACAAAAAGAAACTCTCTATTGAGAGCTAAAAGGGCATTAAATCATATATTCTTACACAGAGCTAATATCCTTCTGGCCCTCAACATGTGATAGCATCATTACTCCTTGACTTGTGCATTGCACTTTTCCTGTATCATCCTCAAAAACACTCAATGTGACATAGATATTGCTTTTTCATGGAGTGTGAACTCTAGCATACATTCCTTTAACAAAAAATAGAAGCGTGTATCAGATGCATATAATGTTCTTAGCTACATCAACACAACTTTGATAATTCTAATGTTACATGCACTTTCAGTATTCTGTTGTTGTTGTAGATGACAAACAAAAGTCACGCGATCATGATCACTGAAAAAACTTGCAGAAATTCTATTAGCCTCAGAATGATCATCAACTAAAATTGGTAACCCTTGTGTTTTTCACACCATTTCATATTTATTTAGCTAGTTTACTACCTTATAACATACCATAATGGTATATTTTTGTATAGCGCCCCCATCATTTGCTGATGAAATGATATTCCTTTCTTTATACTTCTTCTCTCCGCTCTTTTCTAGTTCCATAACCCAACAATATTTTTCTATCCAAACATGAGAGAATGTCACTTGCAATCCCTCGATAAATGTCAAAGGACTCTGCAAGATGAATCGCACATCAAGTCAACTCTGTATTTTTAATATGTCACTCTCTTGCCTTTGGCGATCCAAATCATTTGGGAAGATTTTTTCTTTCTATTTTACCGAACACCTACAACTGAAGGAGTCTTGCGCATACCCGAGCTCTATTTATCCCCACTGCCACCGATGTTCTTACGGAGCAGCTTTCCCATTTAGAAATGAAAATAAGGAAACCATAGATGTGCTTCAGATAATACCAGAGCACTGATAATGGGGGGTTTGCACCAGCCAAAATGGTGCTGTATCGTGGAACAGAATGATGGAGAGTGCAGTGAGGCTGCACATCAATAATTCTTTCTTTCATCCTCTTTAAAGTTGTAGATGAGACAGAAGGGTAGTTTAGCCGAGGAGACGTTGGAAGAAATGACTTCTAACCTTTCAAAGCCCTAAGTGAACAAGTATGGTTTAAGCTCCCTATGGTTGCCCTTTGCCTTTAGCAACCATGCTCTGTAAATGGCTCCATACAATTACTGACATTTAGAAACAATGAAGAAAAACATATACAGGTGTTGTCGCTGGTTTCCATTTCTCATTCTTTCTCTTTTTCTGTCTCACCATCTCTTCCAATTATAACAGTCTCTAGACGCTCTCCCTTTCTGTGTTTGTTATTCTTCCTTCTCAGTTATGCTCCGTTTTTTTCTTTTCAATTTTCATTAATACCCAACACATTGGTCTCCATATATTTTTAAAAATAATGAAGATTGAAAGATAATATATCACAGAGAAAGAGATTTGTTAGAACCATAATAAAAGCATGTTTTTCTGAAGGGTGATCATTCCACAAAAAAAAAAGGGTTTTTAGATCTATTGAACCATTTTGCTTCATCTTGACTAGGATGTTTTGGTTTGGTACTTGCTTGGTAATGAGGATTAATGCAACACTAAAGGGCACTAACGCATTGACTTGGTTTCGATTCCTGGACCTCCCTGCTATGAGACCACTACTCTACCACTGGGCTGTCATGTCTTCTAAATTGATGTAATGTAACTCCCCTCATCATGATGAGCTAAGCATGATCTTCAGTATTGCACTTTAGACTGATTTCAGATTCCCCTCCAGGGTGTGCAACCCATCTCCGGATATTCTACGTAGTAAATTGCCATTGACCTAATTTATCATGATTCCTCGTATAGATATCATATCAGGGACATCTGAGATATAACAAAATAGAAGGACTGAGCTTCATTTATGTGTTAAATTCATTTTCTGAATAATAATAGTTTGAAATGTTTCTCTTTGACTTTAGATACTATTTTGTAGAATGAGGGCCATGAAAAATCAGAAAATGTGAGAGTATCTGAATAGGGCTGAAAGTTAATGAAAAAAGTGGAGAGAGTTAGGGGGTGGGGGAGGTAAAACCCTACAAACAGGATGAAAAGAATATACATTTATGAAAGAAAGGAAAAACATTTCTGTGATCTAATTTCTTTCGATATGGATCATTATTCATTGTTATTATATATATATATTTTAATTTGAGAGCTGGAGTGGGAGGGCCATAACATTATTTCTTATTTACATCAAAGTTGAGTTCCTGATACACCTCAAGCAATATTTTAGATTAACACAGAGAAATGTATTTTGCAATGCATTTTCTAGTTAAAGGCATAGACCTCTTGACGTTCATCAACACCAAATGAGAACTTGCAATGAGAATCTTGTATTCTCAGACGAGTAACCTACTCTATACACTTTAAAGTCAATGAGATTTCTCAGGCTTATCATTGAACTACTATCCTATGAGCTTGAGGGGAGATGCGTTCCTTTTTACATGCCTCTGTCTCGGCTGAAAGCAGTCACATATTAAAGTGCATTGTCCCAATTTATGAAATCATAATAGGTAAACTGTATTGGTGTTGGTATCGAGGGATGATTTCATCCTATACCTAAAACATGTGTTTGGGAGATGTGCTCTGAACATCCTCCCAGAGAGAAATTAATTAGGCACCGGAAGAGCAAATTAATGAAGTGTTTTTGCACACTGTGCCTCCCTCCACAGTATAGAAGCTAATCAACTATCTCCCGAGGGTAATAGCTGGACAGACGTGATGGCTTGAACAATTCCACTAGTCTTTGATTCAGGAAAATGTATTATTTGATCTCCCGTCCATGTAGACTTCACAGCTTGGCCTTTGGAAGTTGAATAGAAGTAATTGTGTTGGAACAGGGAGAACTAAGTTGGAGCACAAGGAGGATTAGATTTTAGGATCTGAATGAAATGAAAAGAATAATATGATCTTACTGAAGTATCAGAATAAAATATTCCTGATACTAGAAGATCATATGATTATTGTGACCATACATACTTTATAAATGGATTGGGGGGAATGAGAAGACAAATGTTTGTTGAAGAGAATTCACATTTTAATTGAGCTGCCTGTTGATGCCTTGATGGACATTTTAATTTGAGAAACAGGCATTGTTTGTATATATTGAAAGTAGCATCTCATATTTCACCTTTTGATGGGGAGATCGACTGATGATAAAAGCCAAATGATTTAAAAGAATCAGCAAGTATGCTGTACAACATACCTAGTATCAAAAATAATATCGCTAGTGATATTCGTTTGTCTCGCAATGTATGGTCAACAAGGGATCTAACAGATCAGGACGTTTTGTACGCCGCTGCAACACTTCGTCAGGTGATAAAATATAATGTAAGCAAGCGTGTTTTATACTACATCCGCAATGAGTAATATATTTAGCAACATACCTAGTCATGAAGACACAAAACACACATCGAGTCTATAGACAATGCTAAATGAATGTTATTAAGCCCATCATCAGTTTCAATCATAATATAAAATTTCTGTTTTCATTTGAATTGAGCCTCTAGAGTGGGAGGTGGAAAATTGTAATGTAACATGATCTGCTTGAACTCCTGGAAAGGATAACTACTCTTACAAAAGAAATTGGTTCTGAGGGAAGAGAGATGGATCGAGAAGAAGGGAGAAAGAAAGTAAGGATGCGAGAGAGAACAATTTGGTTTATTCGTTGCCCACATCCTATCAGTCTATCATTCTTCCTCTGTTGCCGTGCCAACCAAGCTTCATCTTGTGAATAGGAAGGTCAAGTTTCGAGCATGGCGTTCTGGACTGTCAAGTGAACGAAGCAGTGTTTGGGGAAGGGTATGGTAGGGAGAAGAGAGGAGTGGACACCACAGATTGAAATTTGGTTCCTTGTCACGAGGATGTGGCACTTCTGCATGTGCAGGAGATGATGCAGAATAATGCTCGTGACACTCTTACTGCAATGTATCTCTCCTCTCTTTTCATTTCTCCTTCCTTCTCTCACGTGCCCTTCCATATATCCCTTCTCTATCTCTTTCTCTATCTTTCTCTCTCCTGCCTCTCTCTCTCTCTCTCTCTCTCTCTCTATATATATATATATATATCTTTCTCTCTCCCGTCTCTCTCTCCTTCCCCTCTCTCTCTCTCTCTCTCTCTCTCTCTCACTCTCTTCCTCACAGTAATGAGTTCCCTGTTGGTTTAGTACTTTGCCCATTTGATTATCAAAATATTTTACTATCTATTTGCCTGTCTCTGTGTTCAGTCTATCTGATGTTTGATGTGATGTTAAGATGTTTGGAGTTTATTATCCAAAACAAAAAGTACATCAATATAACAATCAAATGTGAATGATTAATTAACATTGAAAGGATAAATGGGACCAGAAAATAGCATTTAATGCTAATCGTGTCTAGTACCAATAACACACAAAAAGTATCACAGCAATAAATGAGAATGTAACGAATAAATATGAATAACTATTGAATACATACTTAAGCTACAAACTATTCTACATCTAGGGTAAATATGTTCTGTGCTTATATACAAAGCTTTGGTATTTTACACTAAATAAAAGATGAAGAATTATATAACATAATAATAATAAGGCAAGAGCCTTGGTTCTAAGTTATAAACAACTATTCTATTAACATTTTTTATATAAGAGTTCTACGAAAGCAAGACACTGATCTGTATCATATCTACCAGTCTCTCTACACCTTGTGTACACTTGGAATCATGAGAGCACATTTCCATTTTTAAAGTATTTGTAGCAAGCCATGTGATTTGACTCTAAGTTGTGAATCTCTTATGAGATAAGCCATTTAAATGAGAGGGGAAGGAGTGATGAGGCATGAAGAAAAGTTTTTTTTTTAATTCCGCCTCCAATAAATTTACTTATTTTCTTAACTTATTTGCTTTTTTTAATTTTAATTTTTATATTATTTAAATGTTCAACCTGTAAGGATTTGACTGAAAAGGGATGTCATTGGGAGTCTGTGTACTTTGCTAAATAACCACATTATGGATTTTAGCCTTGAGGATGTCATCTGAAGATAGGAAATCTTTTTATTTCTTCCTTTTCTCTTGCTTGATGTATAGCAAGGTATATGTGGTTGCCGATGGTAACACGTGAACAACTTTTACACCAACACATATGCCTCGATTAGAAATTTACATCTGAATATTTTGCAAGTCGTACAGTGTAAATTCATCCAGTGAAATGCATCCAGTTGAATGCATGTCTCTTATAACCAATTGATGTGCATAGCCAAATAAATCAAGGATGGGATTGTAAATGAAGCGAATATGCTGTTATATTGCCATGCAAAGGGAAACTCCCTCTCGTACTGATAACTGCATTTATGGAATGGTTGTGGCATGCAATTGACATGAGATTTATTGGCCTACCGGTATTGTAAAGAAACGTTCTTGAGCAAATTTTGTATGGCTATGATGATGATTGAGTTCGAGATACTTTGTATTGAAATGAAATATATGTTTATCAATTAATATATCAAAAATGGTTAATATATATTTAAATGAATAATGCAGATTAGGTTTAATAAGGCAACAAAAGTTCTTGGAGGAATATTCAAACCTTTCATCCTTTGAATGCTGTGATTGAGCTCCTGTTGGTTACATAATAGATTCACAGTTTTTGAGTTGCTTGTGGTTTATGGTCATAAAATTGCAACATTGTGATGTCTCTATAAATCCGCAGGTTATGGATTTATGAATTAATGATCCTATCCATGCTTCCTAGATAAACAATAGGCTAAATTTGAAGATTTTCATGAATGATATCAAAATGTCTCATTTGGTCTCAATATTTGATATTTATTAATGTAAAGCATGGAATTAATGATTTTAGTCTTTTACCTCTTTCTCCGGTCATATTAGTAATAGCACTATTTTATTGTTTGCTTTCTGGAATACATTAAATATTTATGTTGAGATTTTGTTTTGTTTGCTACACAACTTTCTACCGTTGTTTCCATGTAGTGCGGTGAAGATTATTATTCATCCGTACATGTACATTTGATTGCTATATTTTGACTAATCAAAGCTTGAAAAATCATGGAAACAAATCTTTTATGTTATTATCTTAAAGCTGTTCCAATTAGAAATAAATAGTAGCAGTACTTGTTTACGAGTACAAATATAAATCACAGAGACAACTAATATATGCATACAAGTATTATTAGAAAGTCGCCGCATATCTTTTTCGAGGTATGACACCATCTTGAAATCTAAAACTGTTCTGAATTATTCATGATCAGCCCACTCAGTATCCTATATATCTCTTTCTCTTTCCCTCTTCCCTTATCTCTCTCTCTCCCTCTGATTATTTATTTCTATCTCTGTCTCTCTCCCTCTTTCTTTCTTTCTTTCTCTCTCTCTCTCTCTCTCTCAATCTATCTCTTCTTTAATGCCTTTATTATCGTGCCTTCACTCAAGGGAAGACGCAACTTTAAATAGTATGGGGGCTTAAGTAGATGCACAGGATTATACACAGCAGCCTGGATCGTGGGAGTTGAGTGGGAATGGTTTCCACGCATTTCTCTTTTTTTATTTTGACTTTACAGGCTAATAAGCAAAGGGTGTGTTGTTACATTTTCAAAGAAAGGTAAACGGGTCAATGCTTTTTGAGTGTGGGTTTTAATAAGGAATCATAAAGAGATAGGGAATCCCATGGTTTTGTCTGAATAATGTCAGAGTCCATATTTCTGCTTCAGAAATGTCAAAGCTGTACATTGGCTTGTCTTGTTGGGGAAATTTTGGTTGTTTAACCTTTTGTAGCATTATATTAATTTTGTGGGGTATTAAATGTAGAGGTGTTGTTTCTCTTGAGAGACAAGGCTTCTAGTTCTTACCGAACAAGTTTATATAAGGAAATAATGAATTACATCCAAATGTTATGGTTTTGAGTGTGATTTTTAAGAGATGAAATATGAAATGACTTCCAAGTAAAATCATTTTTTAAATGTCTTGTATGGAAACACCACTAATCAGTTATCAAATGGTAAGCCTGTCATGCTTGTAAAGGTACTGCTTATCATTGAGAAGTTAAGAAGGATAAAATGGTATTAAAATCTAGATTATGTTTAATTTGGAAAAATACACATTGAAAAGTGGATCAATTTTTAGGGAAATTGTGAAATGTGCCTCCTGTGCCTCCTGTTTATCTTTGTTATTGTTCTGTAGAGGGAAGATTTCACTTGTTGATGAAATTGCCCTAGTTGATAACAAAATAATTAAAAATATTTAAGAAATAAGTCACTAATGGCGTATATGTTCATACTTTGCCAACCTTTGCAACTGAACATCATCAATGTGAACATGTTCCTTCAAACTGAATACTTAAACAATTTGCAACAGCCTTTATATAGGCTACCAGCACAATAAGTGACCCGTTAATGCTAACCAGTTTACTCATATATTCTAACATTAGAATAATTAAAACTCCTTACCAAATAGAGAATTTAATACAGCCAAACTATGTATTGGCAGAAAAGCAAATTGGACACATAAAAATATCAAGGTTAATTATGTAGTTGTTTTCATTTGCAGAGAATCAAAGGTTCTAGAACTGTACTTGAAAACTTAGGGAATACAAAGCCAATGGCTTCTAATGACTTCTAATGACATTGAAGAAGATTAAGGTATTTGAAGCCGTTTGCAATGTATGTACTTCACAAGGTGAATAAATACCATTTTTGCATGGAGTATTCTTTTTTTCTGTCATATTAATTTTTTCCTGTCATATTGTACAGAAATCCTATTTAACATCACAAATCTCTATAATTTCCATTGAATGTTTATCTTCGACCTGTAGTTCTAAATATATATGGTTTGCAATTGCAACCCTGTACATTCATTCCTTCAGCATCAAAGGGTACAGGTTTATAACAAAGTGCCGCCACCATTCCCACGACCATTACCATGGGCATAAAGCCTGAACCGGTTACATGCACTGGCAGGCGAAAAGAAGGTTGCATGTTAAAACTGAAAGGCACACCAAATGAAATCCTTTTTTAATATTCAGTAGCTGATATATGATATAATTAATTGCTGGTTTCACCCGTACTTGTGCCTCTGCTTGTACTGTATATCAGTTGGAGAAACGAGCAATGGTTTGTGGAAGTGCATTTTATTTTTGGATATGGGGTTACCTTGTAACTCCTTAGAGCAAGAATGGCTTTATCTGATGTACTGTAACGCAGAGTTAATACCGTTGTTGCTCTCAACAGATGATGTGTGTAATAACCAGAATTAAAGATGAGATCTAGGGTCCCAAGACCTAGTCTTGGGGGACTTCTCTTTACTTCATACATTAGCATTGGGTTTAATATGAATGTATTAATTGTGAGTCAGATAGCCTTTGATAGTCAGCCAAACCTGTATAGCATGCAATATATTTACCCCTAGATATCGATACAATGGTCACGTACATGATTCTGGAGTATTTAAGGAGGTACACTTGTTCTATTACCCATCGTGAAAGGGCCACTTTTTCAGAGAAATCACGAGCATCCCAGGGGAGTTCCCACCCACACACTTATCTGGGCTCTATGTACGTTTCCACTAGCAAGGCACATGTATGTTTTACAGTATGGAAAAGTAAATGTAATTTCCTTTTAGTTGCCTTGATGAGATGAGATTTAGATCATGACATTTTTAATTGGTTTTGTGATCTTGCAGATGCATATTTGAAACTGATTAATACTTAAAACTGATTAGATCTTGTACTTAATTTTTGTTGGTCAGTTCCATTCTCATAAAAGTGACAAGATTGAAAGAAAACATCTAACAACAAAGACATACTGTTACTAATACTAATAATATTTTATGAATGAGCAGCTACTATAGAAATATATTATATTGTTGATTTAGTGAAAACTTCTTTTAAACTAAAGGTTTGTGCATTATGAGCACATAAAACATGCATAATTCTTTAACATCTTCAGTAGATTTGTAAAATCAAAAATGTATTTTAATGCATTGATTGCATATTTTACAAGTTCTCTGATATATTGAGATATGACAACAATTCCCTTCAGATGAATAATAGTCTTATGATGTAATCCAGTTAATACTGTTTAAGTTGGAATTAAAAATGGTATTTGGGCAATTGAAAGATGAATGTTTTTATAATAAACTGCGCGTTTGCTTCCATCGATGAGCTGTGATAGAAATATATCAAATCTTTTCTTGTTGATTCATGTGCATTTGTCTGGTGCATGCCTCTGCATGCAGTGCCAGAACGATTTATTCCACCTCTACGGCCTCATGGGAGATGACTTATTGAATCATGGCATTTTATGAAATCATTTTAAATGGGCGTGCCTTTGATTTGATGCACTTGTCATTGGCAGTGTTCAATCGGTCTGACTTTTTATTATCGTTCTATTGGATGACAGCAGTCCTAATTGAGTGACATAGTTTTGTTGGAGTCCATGGATGTTTGGTTTGAAAGCACTGTCACAGACACTGATTAGATTTGAGTATGGTGCGTGTGTGTGTGTGTGTGTGTGTGTGCAAGTATGTGGAAGTGAAGGTTCATTATGATGACGGCAGAGATAAGATGTTTCTCCGTCAGCAAGCACATGCATTTTGAATGAAGGGAAAATGATTGAAAGGCTCTGGTGATCTCGCCGTCTTGCTTTCATCCTGCTTGCCGGACCATTGTTCAAATTGAATGCTGTTTAAACGAAGTCCTTGTCATTATACCGGCGACGTGTTCTCCATTCGTCCAACCGACGAGGTGCCGCATGCCCTTCTGTGGTACAGAAATGTGTGGGAGTAACGAGCGACTTTAGATCAGCGTGATTATTTGACATTTAGGAAAGCACCCTCTGACCTTTATTCTCCCCCACTCTTACCATGATCCTCATTTCTCCGCTATTTGTTGTTTCATTCTCCTTTCTCCGTTGCTAGAGTGACAGCATTCGAGGCGGCTACCTTCCTGCAGGGAGGACTTTCCCGTACGGAGCTGTTGAGTAAGTTTGATGGTTTGGCTTGATTGGTTACATAGGTTAATAGATGATAGCAAGGTGAAAAGAGGTTACGTTATTGGCTCACATAACACCGCCTGCATTGAGGCTAAATTACACCCGCCGATATCGCGTGTGAATGAGCAGTGCATTGCCGAGGCATTGCTTTTCACAGCAAGACACCATAGAGAGGGAGAGAGATGGGGAGAGAGATGGGGATAGAGAAAGAGAGAGAGTGAAAAGCAGCGCTCGCCTCACAACACGCATGTAGCACACTCATACACACACACACACAAACACACACACCTCAGTACATTGAGTGCCAGGTGGTTCACTTTCGTATTGCCTCACCTCTCTCTGTCTGTCTACTTGCATTTTCCTCCTGCAAAGTATAAATTGACTTGTAGCGAGGAAGCCATTGATAGTGAGAGAGTGAGTACATGTGCTTCCTGAATCTTGTCATAATTTAGCACCGTTTGGATCTTATTGCTGGCTGGCTGGAGGATGGACGCTACTGGTTTGTAAGGTGCCAGAGCATTGATTGTCATTGTGGTGAGGTGAGAGGTTCTAGAATGATTTCATCTATCTGCATATCGTTGCCATGTCAATACATTCATTGTTTACCAATCAACTGACTTGTTAGCCGATATAACCAGAATGGTTCGTTTAGTGATGTCGGACATGGTTCATTACTTTATGCGTGATTCGGCTTGCAAAGTATCTGTGCACAGGTCAATGGGGGTATATTTCATTTTGTGTATATTTTATTCTTTGTACATCTAATATATGGGCATGAGAGATGCTGCAATACATACATCTCCTATTGCCAGATTATTGTTAGCTCATATAACTCTATATAAAAAAAGAAAAGAAAGCTGATTATCTGTCCACCAATTGGCATGGTGCATACGCATGTTAACTAGCGTGACACTATCTTTCCCCTTAAAGACATTTCAAAGTGACGATAGGACAACAGGTATCATATTTGTGTGGGCGGAATGAAGATTCGTACTTAAAGGTTACAGAGATTTCTTGCGACTTACAAATCTGTTAAGGAGTATCTTGAGTAAAGCATCTAGACGCAAACATCTTCCCCATTTCTTTCCTGCTAATATCTATACCTTATTATATTGCCTGTAGATATTTTTCTTAGATTATGTAAGAGGGTTATGCGACATCTGAACACTTAGTTATTGTTTATCAATCATCGGGAGTAAACACTTAGATGTGTTTGAAAAATCCTTGTCCACTGTTGTCATACAAATCATCTAAGGGATCTGTTGGATGCATCATCCCCATCACTACCGGTATACTGCGAAAGTTTCATCATGAATATCTTGAAACACAAGAATTGTAATCTAGATGAATTATTGGACTTGCAGTGCACAGATATAACTTGTTAGGTCATTATCCCGTCTCAAATAACCTCATAGCGTCATTATCTCTACATGGTTATTTTGGTTGTTAAATAATGGAGTTAGGACATCAGGCAAGGTTGTGTTTATTTTTCTCTTGTTTTCTTTATATTCTCTAATTTTTCAATGCTTCATTGAGTACAGGAATCGGTAGATACCGTGTGTTTTTAACTGATTTGTAATGAAGACGAAAAAAATTGGGTCATTGCAATCAGTTAAGACTTCCTTATACCTATCTACCGAAGATATGAAAACACTGGGCCGGGTCTTTTTAACAGTTGTGATTCATTGCAACTTATTTACGATTGATATCGATTGCAACGACATGTATCTACATAAACCTAAGCGTGAGGAGAACTTCAGTCTGTTTTGCTAACGCTGACCATATAGAGATTAAGTCGCTGACTACCATCAAAACAAGTCAATTCGTTTACGTGCAGTTGTCCAAAAGAAAACGTAGATGGTGTTAACCAGTATTTTCCAAGCTACACTCCCTTTAATATCCATCAATTTTGTTTTAATCTCAGGTGTAGCGAAGCAGCATAAAAAGAAACGATGTCAATTTATAATATATATTTAACAATTTGATATAAAAACATGCATGTACCACTACCAGGTTCAGGTAGTAGATTTCTAATGAACAGATTGAATATTTGTTAATGCTGTGCAATACATATACATGTACAATACATGTACAAGGTTTTGTAGAAAACTATTGGATTTGAATTCTTGTTGATAGGAATTTTATTGTGGCTTTGTGATTAAAATGGTAAAAGAAATAATTAGCAAAAGAGGGACGAGTAAAGCCTAAAATCTAATTTCAATAAAGGTCATGACGATTTAGAAGAAATGTAAAGTGTTAGTAACAGCAATTTTGCAATGATATTGTGATTTGATATCTTCAAAGAGATATTTATGTACAGGCAATATGAAGAATAATACAACTCTTCCTTAAGCCCTGCCCACTGTTACAAGCAGTCAAATTTATATAGCACCTGCTAATTAAAAAGGAATTAGTGAGACATATACAAGCTGGAGGCAACAAATTATGTTTCTGAGAGCACCGAGGATAATGCAGTTATCATCTTTTATCAATAAAAATGCTTCTCCTCCATGGACACAATGTGCTATGAAAATCTTGATAACCGATCCGAAGAGGGGGGGGGGGGGGGGGGGGGGAGGGGAGGGGGGGGGGGAGGGGGTGGCCCTTTGCTGTTCAAGATAATGCCCAAGAATGAATGCTTGGCCCAGTTTTCCATTAGCATTGTAATTCTATACGGCATCCCATTCATTTGCTAATTGCAAAGTTGAAGATCTCATCAATAATTTCTAATGGCCATTCTGGATTCATATTGCTACGGGGGCATAATGCACATCATTGTGTGTGCATAGCTAGCTGTATGTTGGCTCTTCCCTATGCCATTGACATTGGGTCAAACCCATCATGGCTTGATACACAGACACGTGTATGCATAGTGACCTCCTAATGCCATCGTGCATAATATGTCAAATTTATGACTATGAAAGTCATACATAATCAATATATCAGATAGTGAGTGTTTACAATGTCAAAATCATGTCTTTTTGAGGTTATGTTATATTCATACTTTGTATCAAATTCAGGGTATGAATATGAGACATATTAGTAGTATGTCACTTTTTGTGCTTCAATATTTGCAACTTTAGGCATATTGCCACACAATTTCTTCAGGAGGCTTTACAATAACACTACCAGTACTATCCCTTGTATGTTCTCTGTATTATACAGTGTAGGCGGTCTGTAGATATTTAAACAACATGTAAATCTTGGCTGATGGACAGTGCAATATTATTGATTCTCAAGTTAGAACACACAATTAAATACATTATATGATATTCATTTCTATCATACTGACCTACATTTATATATTAGATTCAAGGCAGCAAAGGATTCTTATTACAAATTCAAGATATTGCATTTTGAGAGAAACCTTGAGAATGATTCAAGATATTGCATTTAGAGAGAAACCTTGAGAAAACTTGTAGGCGGTGTTATTGACGTCGTTATGTCCAGCAAGATTTTTTTCTCGCATTTACAACAATTGGCTCGAAATTAGAAGTAATTTGATGTTCCATCTGAAGAGAGCTCTATTTCAAATATGAGAGTCTTTGAAGGACAACTTCTCTCATTTTACAATTCAAATATCACGGCTTTCATATAAGAATACAAGTTTGAAGCAGTTTTTCTCAGTTGTCAGTGCTTCATTTTTATTCCTGCTATAGCATACGACCACCAGCAAAAAAGCCTTTCCAGGCCAATTCTAATTATACTTCATACTTGTAGACTTGCTTCTATGTTGTTATTATTATACAGTTTGAATTGTCATTACAGAAGATTCATCAGGGTTCAATGCACTTTTTCAATACAGAGCATTTCATGTTACTTTAATAATCAAGTAATTGATGGCTCATTTCAAGAGCATGCAGTCTTAGTACATGAAATGAAATGTAGGTTATATCTTGTGAATGGCTGTTTAAAACTTTACCTTTGTTTATTTATTAAAGGTAAAGACCAGCATTGGAAACGCCCCAATTTCAAAAAAGGAAATGGAAGCTCTCATTACCAATCATGTGAAAGAATATGTTTTGACTAATACATGATGATAAAAAATTTGCCGGGAAACCGCCTAATAATTCATATATTTGGTAAATTTGTTTCTCTCATGGTCTGTGAGAGATATAGGGTAGTCCCATATACATCTTTCTGTGTATAGTGCTTGTAACTTTACGAAGAATGGGCCAAATTTCTTATCATTTTGATGATTCCAGAACATTGCAGTACACACCAATACTTATATGCTAGATGATCAACCTTTTCTGATCGATTCCACAACGTTTCTTTCACAATGCAATCGCATGACCAAAACTGGTCTTTATCTTTAAGGATTTCTCAACCATTCTTTAGATACCAGTATTCTATTTTGTGTGCATACATGAGATGAATGAGAGTTTACATGTTCCAATAATTCAATTTAATGGCAAACTTGGCATGATGTGAGTTTTTGTTTTCATTTCTACTGTCAAGTGAAAAAACTACAAGATATGATTACATATATTAGAATGTTAAGAAAATGAATTTTTCCTTGTTTTTGAGGCATACAAGAAAAAACTAATTCAACCGATCCCAGTCTTGTTTACATTTTCGTTTACATTTTCGTAACATGAATCCACCACCCTTGTACCTTGCATGTAAGCTGTATTCCACAGCCATATTTTGTTTTTAAACCTTGTGTACATCTTGTACAGTATGTAGCTGCCAGTTGCAAACAAAAAATGGATTATTCATGATGTGCAAGGCTTTCAATTCCTCAAATCTCCCTGATACATAGTTACATACACCTTAAGGCATCCTGAAGCACAAGTCTGCAGCATTTTTCCGCCGCTTCTTTTTGGTAGGCTTGATTTGCTGCTCTCTCTGGTGAATGAAGAATGATTATGATGATGATGATAGAGAACGGAGGTCTGTTGCTTGTATATATCCACAGTGTACCAGCACCGTGCACTGATTGTAGAGCTCATAGAATCGGCAAGCAGTTTGCATCTGTTTACATA